AACAAGATCCACACATTGCATTTGGTTGATATAAAAATAAATATTTCATAAGGTTTTAATTGTACCAAACACAGAAATAAGATTTTTCCTCTTTTATATCATACCATTTCTTTGATAAATGTATTTCCATCCTTACATGAATGCTTAAGGTATTTCTTTTAAGGTTTTATATTTCACTGTAATATACAGTTATCCATATCCCTACTACGCTCTTGAGATTCCTAATTTTTCATTACAGGCTGAGACTTTCTTATCTGAAATGCTTGGAACCAGAAGTGTTGGGACCAGAGTATTATGAGTGTTGAAATTTTTTGGATTCAAAATATTTACATATACATAATGAAATATCTTGGGAATGAGACTCAGATCTAAACACAAGATTAATCCATGTGTCATGTACTAACTTACATATATTGTCTGAGATAATTTTATGTAATTTAAAATAATTCTTTGAGGGGCTAGCAGGTGGCATGGTGGCATTTAGATCATATCAGTACTCAAAATTTTTTGAGTATTGTAGTATTCAGATTAGGGATGCTCAACTTGTGCCACAAAAAAATGTTGATGAATATATTTGTGAATAAAGATGGTTTCATATCAGAATTACTCTAGATTCTTTTATATGGAATAATTAGAACATAGAGTTAATAGTTTACTAAATATTTACTGTGAGCACAGTGTAGTTTTTTTTTTAACCACATTGAGTTTATTTTTAAAAATACATATTTTAAAGGCCTTTTAATGCAGCTCACATTGTTTTCTAAGAGACTTGTGTCAGTTCTTAATGTTATGTGAAATGTGTGAGGGTGCTGTTTTTTAAATGCTGTCACAACAATTTAATGATTATGCTTATTAATGAGTAAAAATAATAAACTTTCTGACTCATAAGCTCAGTAAATGTTAGCTAGCTATTATCATTTTAGTTATCATTATTCTCAAATATACCTAGTCTTCAAATTCATTTTTTTATTTGCCAGAAGGTGCATGCACTTACTAGAGCGAGGGAAAGACAGCACTCAACATATTCAGCCATGTGGGATTCAGTTCCCCCAACCACCAGGCCACAGAGCTATCTCTCTTCTAATTCTTTTAAGACAGCTTTGGGTTTTTTTGTTTGTTTTTTTAGATTTTTGCCATCAGAGAGTACATGTGCTTGCCAGAGAGAGAGACACAGGGGAAATATAAGAAATCAGTCCCCATGGGGGATGGCCATACTACACTCCTTTCTCCATTCTCCTCTTGGGATTTTGGACATGCACACACAGATGCCCAGCATGTTTCTCAAGCTACCAGGTCTGGTACTTGAACCATGGAATCAGCCATGTAGGATCCAGTGCCTTAACCATCATATTACTTGCTGGTCTAAGACACCATTTTTAACACTTAACTCTTTTTTTTTTTTTTTTTGAGAGGTTTTTGCTATAGGGCGTGTGCGCTCACCAGAAAGACAGACAGAAAGCAAGAAATCACCCCCCAGAGGGGATGGCCACACCACAATCCCTTCTCCTCCATTCTCTTAGGATCTTGGGCATGCACAGACACTCACATGGTGTGAGTTTAAGCCACTGGGTCCGGGACTCGAACCGCAGTTGACTACATGGGAGTCCAGCGACCTAGCCATTATGCCAACTGCTGGTCCCTCTTTTTTTTTTTCTAAAGAGATTTTTACTATAGGGTGCATGCGTTTGCAAGAGAGACTGAAAGCCAGGAATCACCCCCCAGGGGCATGGCCACATGGCAATCCTTCTCCTCTAGTCTCCTCTTGGGATTTTGGGCACAAATGCACGTGGCACCCAGTATGAGTTTTAAGTCACTTGGTCCAGGATTCGAACTGCGGTCAACTACCGGGAGTGCAGCGATGTAACCACTATGCCATCTGCTGGTTCCCCAACAATTAACTCTTTAATCCATCTGAAATGTATTTAATGTTTATCTGTTGTCTATGTTAAATCTATTTAATATGCTATACGTGTTACAGATCTCATTTTTCCCAGAGAGTCCTTATTCAGTACCACTAATTACAGAGGAAGCTTACTTAGTTCTTTAGAACATAGACTGAGCCAGACTGCTTGGATTTGTGTCCTGAGTCTACCGCTACTCAAATGATTTAGGAAGGTTAATCAAGGAGAACAATAATGAGACCTACCCCACAGGGTTGCGCAGATTTAAGGAATTAACAAATGTAAAGCCCTTATTGGTCTATTAGGAATTCTTCATAAGACTTCATTGTCAGGCCAGCCTGTGGACTGGTGGTTAGGGCACCTGGGATCGCAGGTGGCCGATTGCTTATTAGAGTCCCAGATCCACTAGCTCGACAAATACACTGGGTACCGGTGCCCAAAATCCCAAAAAGGGGGAAAAATGGAGTACAAAAGAATGTGGTGTAACCATTCCCCCATGAGATGGGAGGTTTTCTCTGTGTCCCTCTGTCTCTGCAGATTGCACTTTCCCTCTGGCATAATTTGAAAAGAAAAGGAAGAATTTGTTGTCATTATTTATTGGTTAGACTACCTATTCCACACTAATAGGAAATACATCTTTATCATATAATGAACCTTAGGTTTTTTTACTTAGTTCCCTTGATCTGTTGTCTGTTAGTACCATATTTTAATGACTATAACTTTGTAATATGTTTTGATATGTGACTCTTCTATTGATCTTTAAAATTTTTTATTGGCCACTCTTCAACATCTTCCCTCTGAGACAACCTTCAGAAAAATTGTGTTTCAAAGGATACACCTGTGATTCTGATTAGAATTACATTCTATTTATACATTGAAGAAAATTGTCATATTAAGTTATAATACTGCCTTCTGACAGAACGGGGTAATTCTCTCCATACAGGAATATCCTCTTATGTTCCTCAGTAAACTTCTAAAGTTTTCTTCATGTAGGTCCTTGTTAAGTATACTCTATTTTATATTTTCATTGTCAATGTTTCTAGGATAATTTATTCCTTTATATATGCTAATCTAGTTATTAACTGGTACTTATAAAAGCTGCTTAGTTTTATAAATTAAATAAAACTTTAATTCTACAAGACATTAACTTGACTCAGGTTTTTGAGGTAGATGATTATTTCATCTAAAATAAATTATCTTAGTTTATATGATTTTTTGATGTTAAGATGTAACTTTGTAGATAATCTAAATATGTTGTTTTTCCTTTTTCTTATTACTTCCAAGAACAGATTATTTCTTCACACCCATTTAGCATACTCATAAACATTTCATTATCATTTCTGCAAGTTTTATTTAGTAGCATAATATTTTTTAAAATTATTGGAATCATTCAGAATTTATTCTAATTCATGGTATAAAATGTAAAAAACTATCCAAAGACTAATAATGCTGTTTAATGAATAGTTTTCCACTTTCCTATTGACATACTAATTCTTTCTTGGCCATATAATAAAGTATAAACTATATAATCTGTTTTATTGGTGTATTTTCCTAAATGTAAGCAAAATGCAATCTATGTTAACTATTACAGATTTGGGGTATGTTTCTGCATGTGGTTGGACAAGATTTTCTCTGTAATTTTTCCAGAAACTGATAGGATGAATTGATATGCTTATTAGTCTTACCATACAAGAATGCTGTTTCTACCCACTTATTTAAATTCCCTATTTAAAAATATTTCATAATTTTCATTCAATAGATATTACACATTTCTTTTTTAGATTAATTCCATGCTTTTTCTATTTATGTGTATGAATGTGAGAGAAATTTGTGAAAAATGAGTACTAAAAATTCAGAATGTAAATTTATTTTGTTAAATTTTATTTTATTTTTATTTTCTTTAAGATGCAACAATAATAAATATGAAGAATGTAAAATGTATATAAAGTACAAGATTCGTAAGTATGACATACCAGGTGATGGAGATATGATACAGTTGCCTACACAATTATTTTCAGCAAGATCTCCTTTTATTTCAGTCTTTTTAAACAATCTTTCAAAGTGAAAATGAAGAGGCACATCTGGAAAAATAAAGTTAAAAAATGTTTTTAGTGATGATTCTTTTAATTTTTGCTATAGAGTATGTGTGCTTGCCAGAAAGAGGAGTGGGGGGGGGCAGTGAGAAATCACCCTAAGGGGGGATGGCTATACCACAATCCCTCCTTTGTTCTCCTCTCAGGATTTTGGACATGCACACATAAGCACCCAGTCTGTTTTTTAAGCAACGGAGTCTGGGACTCCAATCACATACATGTGGATCAGCCACTTTAACCACCATGCAACTGGGTGGCCCTTCGTAGACTATAATAAGATTGTATTTCCCCATTTAATATATACTGAATGTCAGCACTCTGTTCTCAGTTTTCAGCAAAACTTAAAATCTGTAAGGTATTCATATAATAGCAGGGAGGTCAATTGTAGATACTAGAGACAGTATAAAAAGGACTGAGTAATAAGGAGTAGAAGGGAGAGGATCAGGAAGGAAAAACAGACATAAAAATGAAAAGTTATCTGTTGATGATAATGTATATGGTAATGTCTTTGACTTGACTAATATGTACAGTATTCACCTGGGAAAAACCATGTTGTACACTGTAAAGATGTACAGTGATTAAATGTAAATAAAAAATAGATTTTATAAAATTGCTTTTAGGACTAGCAGGTGGAGTAGTGGTTAAGGCACTGGACTCCCACACAGCCTACTGCAGTTCAGGTTCTGGACCTGGCAGCCTGAAAAATCACACTGGGCACTTGTTCATGCCTGCCTAAAGTCTCAAGAGAATGGAGGAGAAGGGATTGTAGTGTTGCTACCCACACTGGGGTGGGGGGTGGGGAGGGTGATTTCCTACTTGTCCCGCCATCTATCTGTCTCTAGCAAGTACAGTTGCCCAAATTTGTGAAAAATGAGTACTAAAAATTCAGAATGTAAATTTATTTTGTTAAATTTTATTTTATTTTTATTTTCTTTAAGATGCAACAATAATAAATATGAAGAATGTAAAATGTATATAAAGTACAAGATTCGTAAGTATGACATACCAGGTGATGGAGATATGATACAGTTGCCTACACAATTATTTTCAGCAAGATCTCCTTTTATTTCAGTCTTTTTAAACAATCTTTCAAAGTGAAAATGAAGAGGCACATCTGGAAAAATAAAGTTAAAAAATGTTTTTAGTGATGATTCTTTTAATTTTTGCTATAGAGTATGTGTGCTTGCCAGAAAGAGGAGTGGGGGGGGGCAGTGAGAAATCACCCTAAGGGGGGATGGCTATACCACAATCCCTCCTTTGTTCTCCTCTCAGGATTTTGGACATGCACACATAAGCACCCAGTCTGTTTTTTAAGCAACGGAGTCTGGGACTCCAATCACATACATGTGGATCAGCCACTTTAACCACCATGCAACTGGGTGGCCCTTCGTAGACTATAATAAGATTGTATTTCCCCATTTAATATATACTGAATGTCAGCACTCTGTTCTCAGTTTTCAGCAAAACTTAAAATCTGTAAGGTATTCATATAATAGCAGGGAGGTCAATTGTAGATACTAGAGACAGTATAAAAAGGACTGAGTAATAAGGAGTAGAAGGGAGAGGATCAGGAAGGAAAAACAGACATAAAAATGAAAAGTTATCTGTTGATGATAATGTATATGGTAATGTCTTTGACTTGACTAATATGTACAGTATTCACCTGGGAAAAACCATGTTGTACACTGTAAAGATGTACAGTGATTAAATGTAAATAAAAAATAGATTTTATAAAATTGCTTTTAGGACTAGCAGGTGGAGTAGTGGTTAAGGCACTGGACTCCCACACAGCCTACTGCAGTTCAGGTTCTGGACCTGGCAGCCTGAAAAATCACACTGGGCACTTGTTCATGCCTGCCTAAAGTCTCAAGAGAATGGAGGAGAAGGGATTGTAGTGTTGCTACCCACACTGGGGTGGGGGGTGGGGAGGGTGATTTCCTACTTGTCCCGCCATCTATCTGTCTCTAGCAAGTACAGTTGCCCTAGCAAAAAAATCTAAAAAAAAAAAAAAAAAAAAAAAATTACTTTCTTCCTATAAATAGCATATATGCTTAGAAAAATAAGTAAAGTTTGAAATACCACAGCTATCAAAAGTGGCAAAATACTCTTTTTAAGCATGTTGGTGGCAGTATTTTGGAAATTAATGATTAGGTGTACATAATAAAAAAATCAAAACAACTAATAGATGAACAACTTCATGAATTTCCTAAAATAGTATGTAAGATGAATGTTAATTGTAAATATTATTAAATACTATTCAATGATAAATGGAAACAAATGAATGCATGCAAGCGTTATTTAAGAAAACCTATGACCTGGGCCAGCTGGTGGCATGATGGTTAACATAGTTAAATCCCACATAACTAACTGCACAGTTGAGTTCTGGACCCAGCAGCTTGGCAAACACTATAGGCGTATGTGTGTAAGTGACTGAAATCCTGAGAGGAGAATGGAGGAAGAGGGATTTTGGCATGGCCATCCCCCTACAGGGTGACTTCTCACTTTTCCTCTCTCTCTCTGTTTGTCTCAGGCAAGTGCCCATATCCTATAAAAAAAACTTAAAAAAAAAAAAAAAAAAGAAAGAAAGAAAATGAAAAGAAAAGAAAAAAAACCTACAGCCAAACAAACCTGACTTGTTCTAAATCCATTCCACCAAACCCCACAAATTGTATTTGAAATAATGTAGCTTCCAGAAGATATAATTACATGGTTTTAGTTACTTGGGGGAAAACTGATATAATTCAGATGCAACTTTTTATGAAAACATTATTTTACATTCCCTTAGTTTACTAATAGTATTACAAATAAATCTACTTTTTACAAAAATTAAAACCTATTGACAAACTAGATTTCTTCCTTTAAATAGAGACAGGAAAACACATTTGGTTTATAATTTTCGTATTCTCAAAAGAGAGAAACTAAGAAAGTAAACATGTTTCACATCAGTTAGCTTTTTCTTTCAAATAAGAATGTAGAAACAAAATCATCTTAAAAGGTATTTATTATGAGGGAGACCTAAATGCTCTCCTGAGAAACATAATTTATAAAGCAGCTGCTGCATTGAAACTTCTGCTATAAAGAAGGTTTTTTTTTTTTTTCTTTTAAGATTATATTGCTAACATAGATTGATAAAGATGAATTAATTATGGGACCAGCAGTTGGCATAATGGCTATGTCGCAGGACTCCCATGTAGTCAACCTCATTTCGAGTCCTGGACCTGGTGGCTTAAGCTCACGCTGGGTGTGTGTATGTGCATGCCCAAGATCCCAAGACGAGAATGGAGGAGAAGGGATTACAGCCTGGCCAACCCCCCTGGGGGGGGATTTCTTGCTTCCTGTCTCTCTGTCTTTCTGGCGAGCGCATGCACTCTATAGCAAAAAAAAAAAAAAAAAAAACTCATATAAATCAAGATAGACCCCAAAAGGATCTGAATTTAAACAGATGTATCTCTCCCTCAAATAACTTTCTTTTTTTAATTGCCAGAGAGTGTATGCACTCTCTAGAAAGAATAGGGAGGAAGCACCTCCATGTGTGGTAATGCTGTAATCCCCTTCTCCTCCATTTCTCTATCCTATTAGGATTCTAGGAATGTGCACACACACATGCCCATCCAGCATGTTTTTTAAACTTGTCAGAGCTGGAACTCAACTGGCAGTCAGTCATGTAGGATCAAGCTTCCCTAACCACCAGGACACAGGATAGCCCCTACTAATTTTTTTTTTTTTTTTGGCAGGCATAGATTGCATAGTAAAATATGCAGGGAAAAAAAAAGATTTCTGAGTATCATCATGGGTTTTGTCCCAAGGGAGAGCTGACAAAAAAGAAGATACGAATATATGTTATGCTTAACATGCTGTTAAACATTTTAGGATTCTGATATTTTCTGTTTCTCCAAAGAAATGTCACTGTTACAAAGAGAATTTCACTTATTCTACCACTATTCCTTAAGAGTTGTGGGAGAACAACTAAAAAAGCCCATAGTACAATGTGGGCTTTCATTAAAATATTTCACAGCACTTCACTGTACTTACTAATTTACATTTCAGTTGTCTTTGAGAAATTTTTATGTACTTACATTCTTATCACCTATTTAATATCTACTGTTTGGTCATCGGGAAAGTCATGATTCATTTTTGCATAGAAAAGCATAGAGAAATACATCATGACTTTCCTGATGATCTAATATTTAGGTATGGTGATTTTTATTAAATCAATGCAAGAAGGAATGGACAATCCAAACTAATAGGGAA